GGCAGAGTTAAATGCATCACCACTCCTCATATCCAAACAAAGATAAGATTCCTCGCCCTGAAAAATAAGACAATAGAACCATTGTCCCCATGTCTTATAGGATGTGAAATTTGCCCGCAGCAGTAGGGTGTCTTGGGTAAACATGCAGACAGATTGTAGAAAGGGAAAGAAAGTGTGCATGTGTGGTGTATAGATTTTTATATAAGACCTAGATTACATTCTTACAAGCTTCACCCTTATATAAAACTTACGCATCATTTCTGTGGTGTTTTACTTTCCTGTAAAGCCAAATTTCAATTTGTCCCAGAACAAATCTGTGTATGGTGCCACAAAAAGGGCACCATCTGCTTTCCTGGATCAATTTTTACTTGAAAACCCCCACGGGACATTTCTTCTACTACAACACTTTGGCTAGGACCTAAAAGCACCTCTGTGGCAAAAATCAATAGTTTGCTTTTGGATATTTTATGCCCCAGATGCTTGTTCGTTTCACCGCTTACCATTTAAATAGTAATTGATTGAAATTTGGTAGCACTGTTTATTACTCTGCAGGTGATAATTTACCACAAGAATTAGCTTGAAGGTCTGTTTGTGTGTAAATTCTGCAGAGAAAAGTGTACTTGGGGTAGGATTTTGTCCTGTAATGAAGAATAATGTAGTATCTTACATTTTGCTCTGAAAATTTTGTGAGGTTTATTCCTGTCAGAAATTTCCAAAAGGGCAAATTATTTTGTAAAATGATCTGTATATTGTGCATAAACACACACATATTCTTATCTTATACTTAACAGGACTTACGTATATATTTTTTGCATCATTGACAGACCTTTCAGTCAAGCAGGCTCATTTTTCTAAACCACTTGCTTAGTTTCATGCAGGTCTTAGTTTTTTTCTCTCAAGCACTTTCCCTGTGCTGTCATGTAAAGTATGCCTGCTGCTCTAATACAAGTCCCTTTGTGATCAGCAACAGCAGGTCATGAAAACTGAATTCTCTGGGTGTTTGACTCATAGAATAATAGAATCATAGAAATGTAGTGTTGGAAGGGTCCCCAAGGGTCACCTAGTCCATCTACTCCAACTCCCTGCTGATGCAGGAATCTCAACTAAATTATACAAGACAGATGGCCATCCAAATTCTGCTTAAAAACCTCCAAGGAAGGAGAGTCCCCCACATATTGTGGGAGTCTGTTCCACTGTCAGACAGCTTCTCCACAAGAATATCATGGAGACTTTGTCAATAGCCTTACACAGATCAAGATACACTTAAGTCCATAGCATTCCCTAACCCATCAAGCTTGTAATGCTTATGAAAAAAGGAAATATGATTAATCTGGCATGACTTGTTTTTTAGAAACCCATACTGGGTCTTTGTGACCACAGCATCCTTTTCTAAGTGCTCACAGACCAACTGTTTAATTCTATGTTCTAGGACCTTTCCTGGTATCAATGTCAAGCTGGCTGGTCGGCAGTTACCTGGGTTTTCTCTTTCCTCCTTTTTGAAGATGGGGACAACATTTGCCCACCTCCAATCCACAGACACCTCACCTGTTCTCCAAGAATTCTCAAAGATTATAGACAGAGACTCTGGGATTACATCCACAAGCTCCTTTAGTACTCTTAGGTTCAGCTCATCAGGCCCAGGAGATCTGAATTCATTTAAAGTAGCTAGGTTTTCCCTTACCACCTCTTTTCCTATCTTGGGCTGCAACTCTTCCAGACTCTATGCCAACATATCCCTTTCTGCCCTTCCTATTGTTTGTGTCCAGAGATAACAATATCCCATTGGTTTCTCCACTCTACCAGGTTTTTTTGTTATGATCACTATACTTATGTTTCCATTTAAATCCAAGCAGTGCAACTCCTCTCACAACTACGTTTCCCAACATCATTAGTGACTCCTCTTTAGTAAAACCTAGAAGTGATTTATGTTACCTCTGCATGAAGCAGGCAGATCACTAAGCTGTCTATCACAAACCCATTCCTGTATTTTGAATAACAGAAGTTTTATCCATACCAAAACCCCATCCATTGCATATCCCCGCCTTATGGGTACAAATAGCACCAATGTAGTTATAATTTCAGCACCAAGTTAAGACTTATTTGTTCAGGTATTTTCCCCAGTAATGGTGTGTGGAAGTGAGAGCTGGACAATAAAGAAGACTGATTGCCAAAGAATTGATGCTTTTGAATTATGGTGCTGGAGGAGACTCTTGAGAGTCCCATGGACTGTAAGAAGATCAAACCGATCCATTCTTAAGGAAATCAGCCCTGAGTGCTCACTGGGAGGACAGATCGTGAAGCTGAGGCTCCAATACTTTGGCTACCTCATGAGAAGAGAAGACTCCTTGGAAAAGACCCTGATGTTGGGAAAGATGGAGGGCACAAGAAGAAGGGGACGACAGAGGACGAGATGGTTGGACAGTGTTCTTGAAGCTACTAATATGAGTTTGACCAAACTGCATGAGGCAGTGGAAGACAGGAGTGCCTGGCGTGCTCTAGTCCATGGGGTCATGAAAAATCGGACACGACTAAAGGACTAAACAAAACAAAAACAAACTGATTATTGTTTGAACTTCTGTATTGTTTTCAGCTGCTTTGTTTCCTGGATGGTTTGTTTTTAGTACTGTTGTTTATGATTTATGATTGGAATGGTTTTTATTATTTTATTTTGTGTTTTGTACCCTGCCTTGGTATCTATAGTGATGAAAAGAAATATTATAAATATTTTAAATAAATAAGGTAGATCCCTCCCCTCTTCCCACAAGTCAACTTTAGCAGGTGGATGAGAGTGCTCACCTATCAATCACCTGACATTGGGTGATTGACTGGAGTGCTCTCACCCACCTGTCAAAGTTGGCCTGTGTTGTGTGTGGGAGAGGAAGCCAAAAAGATTCCCAACCCCATATCTAACCAGTTCATTTCCCCCTTAGTTCAGAAATTGAAAACAGTGGTAGAAACAGGTATTTAACATAGCTCTGTCCAAAACTTATCTTTCTTTAAGAACCTGCTAACCCTGTCTAACTGGCAATTCCTTCCTCTTGGCATGTAAAAAAATTAAAAAGGTTTAAAAGCTATTCCAGTTCATGACTAGCTGCTTGAGATTGGAGCTGCTGCATTTCCAGAAAGATATCTCTTCCATTAGCTAACTTTCTTCCTCTAGAGGGAACATCTTTTATAGAAACTGTAATTGGTTCCATATGAGGTTTTATTTCAATGTCTTATTAACTCCTTCTCTTCTGATTTAGCTACGAGCTAGTTTTAGTTTTGTTAGTAGTATGATGGCAAAATTATTTCCCCCACAACTGCTATTTCAAGTTGGATATCCTAACATTATGTAGTAAGTATTCTTTAACAAGAACCCACATATTAAAAGTAATACATGTTCCTTAACTATTTTGTCAAGAGACCAATGCTATTATAATTCTTTGTAACTGTGATGTCCTATGAATCAAGCGGGGTAGATGTGGCCAGTCTATTTTCCTACACAGTCAGGAGGGCTCAGGTCTGCTCTCATCACCAAGACTTACTCATCCCATAATTATGGAAACCAACAACAAACCCTACAAGGGGCTTCCCTTGGGCTTAATCCAAAAGCTGCAGCTGGTGCAGAACGCTAGATGTTGGCTTGGGTGCCCCATTGACACCATGTGACACCTTTCCTGAAGAAAAGGCAGTGGCTTCCAGTGCGCTGCTGGGTGCATTTCCAAAGCCCTACATTTAGCATTTACAGCCCTAAGGAATTTGGGACCGCCTTGCCCATTACGTGCCTGCTGAACAACGGCAGTCCTCAGATGTAGAACTGCTGAGAATACCATAGGCCCAGGGGGAGCACTTAGCCTATATTTAGAAAATAGACTTTTAGTGTTGCAGCTCCAGTTTTCTGGAGTCAATTACTAGCCTAAACCAGATATTTCTCTAGCATGATGAAGCAGACCTTCCAAGTGTCCCTATTTTCCAGGGACGTCCTTGATTTAGAGAAGCCATCCCGGTTTCTGATTTGATCCCGGAATGTCCCCCTTTTCCTTAGGATGTCCCTATTTTCATTGGAGAAATGTTGGAGGGTATGGAGTTATCTGACCCCTGAGCCGTCTGAAGGCAATCCAGTATAGGGAACTTTTTTAATGTTTAATTGTGTTTTTTATATATTTTGGAAGCCTCTGAGAGCGGCTGGGGCAACCTAGTAAGATGTGTGGGTATAAATAGTAAAATTATCATTAAGAAATGGGACGTCCCTATTTTTATCAGAGAAATGCTGGGGGGTATGGATGAAGTTTATAAACCTACTGGAGGCACTTTTTCTTAGAAAGGCTTTTCCTGACCCAGTCATTTATGATGAAATGAATATTTGATGAAACATTCTGTGACTTTTTTAAAGTTTGTAAGGATGTTTTATTTTAGTTTGTTGAATTGATTTATTATACTTAGAGGGTTTCCTCCCCTATGTTTCATTCTGTTTTTACCCTGCACACTGCTTCAATAGCTCTATGCCATGAAATGGTCTATAATTCTGAATTATGATGATGACAGAAATTACAAAGCTAAGTGTGCCTTTGCGGTGCCAAGTTCTTCCACTGGGAAATCCCTTCCAGATCATCTAGTGACGTCCTGCTCAGATGGCATGGCTTACAACCTACTTTCAGTGAGAGCAAAATTCAGTGCATTTCTCTGATAAATGCCAGAGGATAGCTTTGTCCTGCCTTCCCCAAAACTTGTAACATTACTCATATGTCTTGCCTGAAATGTTTTGTTCCCAGACATCAGAATACTCTGACAAAGATTCGGATGGTGAAGAAAACGGGGGCACAAAACAGGTGGCCCTTGGCGACAACGGAGGCAACTCTGACTGAACGCAACGAAAGCATTCAGATACAACTCCGCGCCCGGCCTAAACACACTCTCTGCGGCCGCATTGCATGCTGGGATTCGTAGTTTCCTGCTAAGGCAGAGGGGCGTCTCTCGCTCCCTCCCTGCGTTCCGAGCGTTCCGCAGAACTTCGCTCTTGACCCCTCCGCCTTCCCGTAGTTGCCCGGTCCCCGCTAAGGCAGAGGTGCCAGCCGGACTATGGTACCGCGGACCCTCTGGCTCCGGACTCTCCGTTCCGCCCGCCTTGTCGCAGGCGCAGCCGCGCCGCTTAGTCCTCGGAGCCCCCTCGGCCCGCGGGCGCCTCCTGCGGAGAGGCGGGGGCCGCGTGGTGCCTGGGTCGCCATGGCAGCTCGAGAGCGTTCGCCTCCCCGCAGGGCGGGAGCCCATGAGCTGGAGGCGGAGGCCCCGTGCGAAGCCGGAGAGAACGGGCAGCCTCTCTCGACAAGCAGCCAGCTCTTGCAGCAGACCGGTGAGCAGCAGCAGCAGGAGGAGGAGAAAGAGGCACGGAGACCTGCCTTATACCGAGCCAGACCATTGCTTAGTATTGCCTACCCTGGCTGGCAGCAGCACTCCAGGGTTTCAGGCAGGAGGCTCTCCTAACCCCGCCTGGGGATGCCAGGGGTTGAATTTGGCACTGCCACTGAGTAATTGTTATTATTATTTAAATTTATATACCGCCCTATACTTGGAGGTTTCAGGGCGGTTCACAGAACAAAATCAAAATGTAAAACCACAATATATATAATCAAAATAAAAACAACAACCCAATAACATCTCCCGCCCCCCCTTCAAAAAAGAACCACTTTTAAAAAGGACATAGGATGTCAATCAAGCAACCAGAAGCCTAGCTAAAATGGAACATTTTTGCCTGACGCCTAAAGGTGTACAATGAAGGCTCCCCCAATTTTGGTTGTCGGTTTTGGCTCCCTATTTTTGGTGTTGCTGTCCCCCTTCTGACACAAAGCTGCTTTGAAACATTTCCCGTGCTTGGGGTAGCTTCCGACATGCATTCTAGCCCTCAGCACAGACACGTGTACAAAGGTATGCCTGAAGTTTTTCCCTTAAGCACAAACCATTTGGCGCATACATCTTGTTTTCTCAGCCATAATAGCCTCAGATCTTTAGAGTCACCGTCAGAACTGTAGATTTGAATTATTGCTGGGGATCAGGGGTCTGCAACCTTTAAGACAAAAAGAGCCACTTGGACCCGTTTCCGAAGAAAAAAACACCTGGGAGCCGCAAAACCATTGCAACATTTAAAGCATGCGCGCCGCTGCCCTCCGATCTGACAGTGGGCGGGAAGGTGACGTTGGGACGGTGCGTGACTAACGCACACACTGCCCCCATGCGACGTCACAGCCAGTACAGCGCCCGCCACAGTGGGGAGTGTCGGGGCGCACAATGCGCCTCCTCCCCTCGCTAGTATCCACCCCGGAGCCGTGGCAAAGGTGTAAAAGAGCCACATGCGGCTCCGGAGCCGCAGGTTGCAGACCCCTGCTGGGGATAAACAAGGTATTCTCATTCAGGAGGAGAAGGGCCCATTGTGCAACCTTGCTATAGATAGATAAAGGGTAAAGGGACCCCTGACCATTAGGTCCAGTCATGGATGACTCTGGGGTTGCGGCGCTCATCTCGCTTTATTGGCCAAGGGAGCGGCGTACAGCTTCTGGGTCATAGTGTTAAGTCGTGGGTTGACATAGCAGCCGGCACAGCGATTTCTTCAAGTAGCTCTTTATTATGGTAAGCTGGAATACAACTGACTGCGACAGCTCAGCCGGCCTGTATTTATAGGCAGCCGGCTGTCAACATTGTAACCACAACAGCCCAGAGTTCCCGCCTAAAATAACTGCCGCGGACCTGAGTGAAAACTATCTACAGACCTGAGTGAAAACTATATACAGTATCCCCCTGTTGGCCCAGGGTGAAACTACACTACATAACACCCCTCCCCACCGAGATAAGGCGTTAGTTACAATCGTAATGGTTTCCTTATATACAGCACTACGCGTAATGGTTCCATTAAGCACAAAAGCATATCGGTTACATTTCCCATACTTAGACCAACAGTGATACCTGTCCAACAACATAGTCCTTTAAATAAGTTGGGCGCTTGGAAACTCTGCCAGACCGCCGGGAACTGGTAGCCAAGTCCGGAGGGCCACACAGTTCTCGCTGAGACTGTGGTGCGACCCTAGGTGCCGTTGGAACCAACTCCCCTGGATCCGCTGCTGTGGGTGGAGCCTCCGCAAGTGGAGTGGTCTGAGTCTGTTCTGAAACGGCTTGGTTCGGCTCCACGCTGGCAGTTTGCGAGGGAGGTGTAGGTGGGGCCTCGCCATCTGTACGTGTCTCTTCTGGAGCCGCAAACGCAGTTGGGGGCACCTCGGTAGTGTCCAAGTCCCCAACCCTGCGCCTAAGCTGGTCTATGTGCCGTCGCCACAAGCGTCCGTCTTCGAGTGCCACCTGGTACGAGCGAGGTCCAGTGACTCCCACTACTGTGGCTGGCACCCAAGGGATGTCCCCCACATAGTTCCGGGCAAAGACCTGGTTTCCTGGGACAAATGACCGTGGTGCGTTGGCACAGCCTGGGGGTTCAGCCACGGCAAAGTCTGGGTGTAGCCGGTCGAGCGGTGACCTGAGGCGGCGGCCCATAAGCAGTTCAGCAGGACTCCTCCCTGTGGCCGCATGAGGGGTGATGTGTTGCACGAACAAGTATTCGGCGACCCGCTCATGCCAGTCTCCCCGGTCCAGGCGCGCCAGTGCCTCTTTTGTCGAGCGCACCATTCTTTCCGCTTGCCCGTTGCTGGATGGATGAAAGGGTGCCGTTAGGGCATGGCGGATGCCCAGTCCCAAAAGATACCGCTCAAACGTGCCTGACGTGAACTGCGGTCCGTTGTCAGAGACAAGGACATCAGGACACCCATGCGTTGCAAACAGGCCTCGCAGCACCCGGATGACAGCTTCGGTAGTGGTGGAGGGCATCAGTGCGACCTCCAGCCATTTGGAATAGGCGTCCACCACTACCATAAAGGTCCGGCCGTGAAAGGGGCCAGCCAGATCGATGTGCACCCTCGACCAGGGTGTCTTTGGCGTCTCCCAGGTGTGTCCCTTAGCTGCCGGTGGTGCAGGCCTCGACTCCTGGCACGCTTGACAGGCGGACACCCAGGCAGTGATGGCATCGTCCATATTAGGCCACCAGACGTAACACCGAGCCAACGCCTTCATTTTGACAATTCCCGGGTGGCCAACGTGCAGAGCCTCCAGGACGCGCTGACGGAGTCCCTGGGGAATCACGACGCGGTCTCCCCACAGCAGGCAGCCACGATGAGCTGAGAGTTCATGTTGTCTGGTTGCGAAGGGCTGGAACTCCGATGCAAAAGGCCCTTGTGGCCACCCCCTCCACACCCAGTTGAGCACCCGGCTGATGGTGCGATCCTGGGCAGATGCGGAGGCCACAGTGGCAGCCGATACAGGCGCTGCCGGAAGATCCTCAATCAGAAGGAGCGATGAAGCTGGAGCCGGGTCTTCCACAAATGCTGGAAGAGGGCAACGGCTGAGGGCGTCGGCATGGCCCATCGATTTCCCCGGGCGATGGATGAGCCGGTAGTGGTAGGCAGCCAGGAAAACAGTCCATCGCAGCATGCGTGGTGAGAGGACCGGTGGAGTTGGACGATCACCGGCGAGGAGGCCCAGGAGTGGCTTGTGGTCAGTGATGAGGTCAAAAGTCCTGCCATAGAGGTATTCATGGAACCTCTTCACTCCAGCCACAAGTGCCAATGCCTCCTTGTCGAGCTGGCTGTAATTCCGTTCCGTCGGAGATAGTGTCCTGGAAAAGTAGGCGAGCGGTGCTTCTCTTCCATCTGGAAAACGGTGACTAAGGACAGCACCGATGCCAAAAGGTGAGGCGTCGCAGGCAAGGACCAGCGGCCTGGATTCACTGTACTGTACCAGCACACTGTCTGAAGAAAGGAGAGCCTTGACCGCGTTGAAGGCCGCCGTCTCCCGATGACCCCAGGCCCAAGGCATCTTAGTGCTAAGGAGTCGGTGAAGAGGCTCAGCCACTGTGGCTTTGTGGGGCAGGAACATGTTATAAAAGTTCAGCAGCCCCAGGAATGCCTGCAACTCCGTTTTGTTCTTTGGGGTGGGGGCCTGCTGGATAGCGCGGATCTTGGATGTGGTTGGATGAAGACCGGAGGCATCGATAAGATAGCCCAGGAACTCTACCTGTGGAACGGCGATCTGGCACTTCTCCCTCTTTACCTTGAGCCCGGCCTCCTGGAACCTGGTCAGCACGGCACGGAGGCGCTCGAACAGCTGCTGGTGTGAGTCTGCAGACACCAAGACGTCATCAAAATATGGTACCACGCCCGGAAACCCTTGCAGGAGACGCTCCATAAGGCTTTGGAAGATGCCAGGAGCCACACTCACCCCGAACTGCAACCGGCGGCAACGGAAAGCCCCCCGGTGTGTGACGATCGTCTGGGCTTCAGCAGTGGCATCATCGACTGGCAGTTGTTGATAGGCTTGGGCAAGGTCCAGCTTAGCGAAGACCTTACCCTCACCCAGGGAATGCAGCAGGTGTTGGACAACAGGAACCGGATAAGCGTGCTGCTGAAGTGCCTTGTTGATCGTGCACTTGTAGTCAGCGCAGATTCTCACCGACCCATCTGGCTTGACAGGCGTGACGATGGGGGTTTCCCACTTTGCGTGGTCAACCGGCTCCAAAACTCCTTGGGCGATCAGTTTGTCCAGTTGTTCGTCCACCTTAGCCTTGAGAGCAAAGGGAACCCGGCGTGGCTTTAGCTTGATGGGGGCGACTTGTGGATCAAGGCTAAAGGAGATGGGCGTACCTGTATATTGGCCCAAGGTGCCGTCAAAAACCTCGGCAAAGTCTTTGACCAGACCCTCAGTCTCTGCGTTAGAGATGCAGTTGATGCCGGTGACTTCCAGGCCGAGGGCATCAAACCAGTCTAGCCCTAGGAGGCTTGGCCGCTGACCTTCGACCACCACCAACCGGAGCAGGCCCGAAAAATCCTTGAAAGCGATCCGGAACCGGCCAACGCCTACCACGGGAATGTCGTTTCCCTGGTAGTCTCTCAGGTGTACGCGGTGAGAGTCGAGTTGCCTTTTGGACACTCTGGGTACCAGTCTTTTGATGGTGCTCCATGACACGATGGACAGGGCAGACCCGGTGTCGATCTCCATGTCACATGGAGCTCCTTCAATGAGCACCGTGACGTTCAGCTTGCGTCGCGTAGGCGAGTCGGTTTGGCCAATCGTGGTTCCAGACGGGCAGCGGCAGTTGGTGAGAGCGAAACAACTTTCCTTGGCAGACTGGAGTGAAGACTTGGACTTGCGAGTCGATGAAGGGGGGGTGTCAGACGGAGCCGATCGGCAGACCTTAGCGATGTGGCCCCTTCTGGAACACTTCCTACAGATGGCGTCTCTGAATCGACACTTGGCACGGGAATG